TGACTATATGTTGGGTCAGAATGTTTCTTAAGTGTTTGAATAAAATTAGCATTTTGTCAAATTAATTAAGAGGAATTTTGCAATAGTATTGATGTATTGGACTCCAACGACTATGAATGTTCTTATGAGAACGTTAAAACTAAAATGAAAGAAAATCTTTTCTTTGTGTTTTTTTTTTTTATTAGGAATTTGTTTTTTTATATATATTTTTGTTGGGATTTGTAAAACGTTATTTCACTATTTCTATATGAGAACATCATTATGTTAATTCTAAATAAAAAAAAATCACATATGAGTTCATTTTTATCTATATTTTATTTCATTTATGCAATGATATGTTTAATAAATAAATTAATTTATTTTACAAACTTACTCCACGAAAATCATTCGACACCACGTGCATCGCACGTGCATTTACTAGTAATAAAAAAAAGTGTGTAAAACATAAAAATTGTAAATGCAGAGAATTAAGCATGTATACATTGATAATCTTGGAAGAATAGCAAACTTTATGATTTTTTTTTTTATTATATTTTGGTGAATGATTTTTTCCAAATAGCTTAATGTGCCCTTCTGATCGAGTCTTTTCCCTTCTTATATACATTGCCCTGTAGCTTTTTTTAGAGTTTTAAAAGTACACATGTCAATTTTTAGAGATATTGGTTAGTGGTTGCACAATGAAAGTACACAATAAAAGTACACATATCAACTCTTTTTTGCCAAATTGGAATTTTCTTTGCATATTTGCACTTTTTAGGCTAGTTTGACATTTTTTTGGCCATTCAAATTTTTTTGGCCAGATTGATATTTTGTTGTTTGTATGGCCGTGTATATTATTTAGCTCATGTATCATTTTTCTAATAATTGGAACCAATAAGGACCCCGAGTTCAGGACAAGTTCTGAACAAGCGTGTTCTGAAGTAGCTTGTCGTTTTTTAATTTCATCTTCCGGCATATTATTTTCTCTCGAACTTGATTGTGATTCTATTCTATGGATTGATCG